GGGAAATGGGTGTGCAAGTGTGTGCATTGTTCACCCACATGATGGGGGGATTAAGATCACATATAGAAGAGTGCTTTTTGAAGCACTACCACCGACAAATCACGGTGATTCTATTGTATTCTATTGCAGTTTTGGGGGTGGTGAGAACCGATTCGAGAATTCTGGACGGAAACAAAGATCCGAACCTAAATCCGAGCCCATTTTAAGCGGGCCAAGTTGGATTTCGCCACCCAGTTCAGGGCAACTGGCAAGAGAGATGCATCCCGACGTGCCCAACGGGAGCGAGGAGAGCTGAGGGGCTGAGGGATGGACCAGATCTCCCATTCTCAGGCATCCAGTCAACATCAATGTGGACTAGAGTGGCAAGAGGGTGCTGGAAAGGGCGACTGTTAAGGTATTCTCGAATCTCCAGCAGCTTCACCGTCGGTTTTTGAGTCAGGAGAAGTTCAAGCAACTGGTTTGGGCCATGCGCGAGCTGACCAGCGAGAAGGGGCGCAAGAAATGGGCCATTCAAGGCCGGAGATCCGGTGAGGTTTGTTCGCGTTTGGAAGCGAAGGCAGCTTGGACAACACTCCGGCATTTCTTGGAGATTAGCAAGTCTTCTGACGGGATCTGACGTTCGTAAGTGCTTGCAGTGGTTCGCCATTGTATTGGTAACCCTTGCCTGGATGCAGATCGCGAACAGATGATGGAAGGAGACAAGGACACCTCGATTTTCCCACAAGAGTGGCTCAATGCATAAAACATGTGTTGTGGTATAGGTTCCAATACGAAGAGAAGTCTCTTGGGAATCATGGTTCATCCCAGTCCTGCCATTTCTGCACTTGGGAACGCTTGGTCGATTCACCGCCTCTCGGCCCGGGACGGCCGACGGCCCGTCGCCATGAGGCGATCTCATGGGAGTCTCTTTGCAGGAGATGTCTTTGGAAAGCGAAGTTCCTAGGTTTCCAAGTTCCGGTCATTGTTTCATGGTGGCGTCAGTGTCATTTGACAGGCGTGAGGCATAGCGGATCCTTGCTCGGGTCTATATATATTAGGATTCAGTTTGCCACGGTTCGATTTCCTCGTTCTCTTGATGGAGATTCTATACAGGTCTTTGGATCAAGTCTTCCAAGGTGTGCGAAGGTGACTCCCAGCGGGAGGCACAAGTTCCTTGTTCCTTGCAATAGCATCGATCGCATCATAGTACGTACCTTAAGTATCCTTGAGTGACTAATTCAGGCCCTCTCCAAGGTCTCCAGAGTCTGCACTTCATTGATGGAAGGGCCTGATGACCTTATCCTGACCCTGCATTCACCAGCATCAGCTTGGCTGACAAATGACCTCTTAGCAATCCCAAGATCGCTATCCAGTTGAATTGAAGGGACAGTACCTATTACACAGCCTTTGGCTGGTTTCAGGGAGTGAAGCGAGTGCGCATGGCCGGGCACGGCGAAATGATGTTTTCCAACAGGCCAGGTGGCTGAATCAGCAAACCACCCTGTTGTGTGATGTTGTGTGCACACAACATGTGTTGCCATGGGCGTTGTCGACGTGTTCTGGCTGGCATGGTGCCAAGGACTTTGCCTTTGATATGCGCGACTGGCCGTTCGAAGAGCTGGAAGATTTGCTTCGCTTGTCTGAGGAGGCCATACATTGACGGCCAACCATGTCAATGTTGGGATGGCATTCCAGCAGCATTGGCTTGAAGCTATACAGTCTTTTTTGGTTGACGTGGTTGTGGGTCAACCTGCCAGAGTTTTGTAGAGCTGGGTTTGGACCCAGACCCTTTCAATCGCATGCCTGTCATGTGACACTCACAAACTGATTCAGGAAGGTAGATACGAATGTGCCACGATGAGCTATGTAGACTAGACAGACTGAAGTAGATGCAGGTAGCTGACCAGCTTTTGTCAGGTTGAGTGTCACCTAGGTAGGTGAACATGGGCCAATGTAGAGCAACATCCACCAGAACCAACAAAAGGATATATGATTCTGGTGTATATATATATACTATACCGTTACATATAACCCGAGGAAACCCGTAAACATTTTATCGATTAGTGACTGTTTGGCTGGTACGTCGTTTGGCAAATCGCCCCCTCTCTGCAACGCGAGAGGCAATGGACGTCAGCGAAGTCCGCACCACTTGGAGCGATGATGGCGCTTGGACCGCAGTCGTAGAACGGTGTGCTCGGTGACGCGCTTGGGAGAGCGGAGAAGCATGTGGAAGCACGTGGCTGAGAGTCTATACGGTATACATCTGCAGATCTCTAAGTACTACTTACAAATTGCTTAAGTCCTACAAGTGAGTTAACTAAGTTGCAAGTGCCACAAGTAAAACCCAACCACCAAGTGTGTGTCAGCGTGTGGTGTGTTTGTGCTGTAAACCTGTCTTATGGTAATGACCGGATGAGGAGCCCCTAGTAGCGATGCCCTTTGTTACTAGTAGCGTCCTTGCAAGGTGCGGTCGTGTTCGATAGGCTTCTCAAGATCCGCCAGATTGCTCCCCTGAGGCTTCCTGGTGGAGGACCGAGCAGCGGACTCACATGCTTTGACGACCGGGACTCAATGAAAATCCAGTGGCCGGCTCGGCGCACGGGACACAACGGCTTGGACCTGTTGGGCGAACCAGGCGTCGGCCCTGCAGGTTTGTGACATGCTTGAGATGTGCAGTGACATACTTGTGGTAGGTAACCTGTATGTAATACTCAGACATTTAAATACAGCGCCGGCGCATAGCATGTAGCAGTGCAGCAAGCAACCCTTCGGTGTCAAATGGGAACTAATGTGCAGGAGAGAGAAGGCAAGACCGCGCCGGGCCCCCCTGAACTTCGACATGATCTATTTCAACAGCTACTTGATTTGAAAAATATCGTCGACAGCTCAATAACGGCTTTGACTTGCTCGTGTTGCTTGGGCTCGTATACTCATCCATTCCAAAATCACAAGAAAAGAAGGAATTTGATTGTGGCACCACATGTCGCACCACGACTTGCTCAGGCCCACCCTCTGGTTAGAGCATTGAACGAGCGCATGCTGCCACATGCTCTAGACTCGTTGGCAGCCGATTTTCGGTCTAAGCTCCCTCGGAGAAAATGGAAGTGGAACATGGCCAGCAGGAAATTGTTTTGCTCTTCAAGCTAGCCATGTTCAGCTTCCATGGTGTTTGAGGGATGCTAGACCCTCGAGTCTGTTGCAAAGGATAATACCTGACTGCTGCAACATGCCACTTGTCGGCAGGCAATATGATTCTACGGCGCTATGGCTCAGACATGTGCAGATATGGCAGGTCAACCTTATATATACTATAGTCCCCCAATCAATCTAAATTCATTCAGTGACAAATTTAGCTCATGCAAATGGAAGCTTCACAGGTTGCAATTTGCATCCTTTTCACACTTACCCCCGAAGCAGTTGACTCGCACAAAAGACGATGTCGGTAGTTCCTAGTTGAGTCATCAAGTGACTCCTGTTGTGCGCGCCTGGTTTATCCGGTGCAGCGGCTTCGCCAGCACGTGCGTTCAGAGCCCCGCAGACTCCACCTCACAGAGAAAAGGAGCGGCTCAGCCACATCGCAGGCTGGATGGAACTTGGACCCTCCGGTCAAAACTGCTGGTCCATCTATGAGAGCTTGCACTTTCCAAGAACCAGCTACTAGCTCGGGATTTATCATGACCTAGTTCGCTGCAGCTGATTATAAGCCTGACAGGTTGACCAAATGTTCGTACGAGAGGAGTCTCGAGCAAAGTGGATCTCTCAATGCCAGGATGGTTTTGTAGGACTCCTCTTTTCCCAGGAGGGACTTAGAAGTTATTTGTTGGCTGTATACTACTTACTCTTTTTGTGAGCTTGGACATGTTTGGACCAGGCCTAAGTCACATGCTAGTGCTGGATCCTTTGGGGGTATTTGGCCTGCTCCAGATTGCCAAGTATGACTGGCGGAACAGAGATAGCCAATTCTTGGAAGTGATAATTATGTTATATACAGTTCTTTTTTGGGGAGAAACTGGGCAGCCATTTGCCATCAGTGATGTTGTCCATCGACTGGGGCGACACTCTAGGAGGAGGACCTCTCTGGCTCGACGGCCTTGATGGTGGCGGCCCGCAATCGTCCACTGGCGCAGTTGGTGTCGCGCCGTTCGGATCGTCTTTTTAGCGTCATGGGCATCTCAGCACATTTGCCGATGGGCATCTAGTCACCTCCAAGTGGAAGCGCTGGTGTGGATGTTTGGCAAGTGCCAATGAATTCTGAACTGGCCATTTGGGAAAAGTGAGGGAAAGGCTGTTTTCAACCAATAGCAATTTTGCTGGTACTAACAAACCGTGGAAATTGCTATGGCACCCGCCTAAGGCCAATAGAGCCTACCAGAAGGATCGAATTGTGGTGTACAAACTATGGCCCCACAGCACGAGATTCAATCCAGGCAAAGTGCGCATAGTGAAGGCCATTGTCAGCTGGGAGCCTCGTTGTACACAGAGTTTGGTGTTCAGCATGGAACGCCGGCAGGGGCGGGAGAAGATTGGGTGAATAGGTCAGGAATGGTGATGCAACACGGATGCTGATGATGGGCTGGCAGCTTGTGATCATGGTGGTCCTTGACATCATTTGGTAGATGGGTTATCGTTTTCCCTTGGCGTGTGCAAAGTATTGTATAAATCTAGCGGCTTGCCGGCAACACGTGGATCATGCTACCTCCAGCCACATGTTGCACGTAGCTGACTTCCTTAAAGCCCCAGTCCTAGAGTTGCTTGGATATTTTCCTGGGACTTTGCTAGCTTTCTGGGCGTTTATGCCCGAAAGCTACTACTTGGGATAAAGGCAAAGAGGTCCTGCATGATGATCCTGTTGAAGTACAAGCTACGAGGCCACATCCACCACATGTAAGAAAGTGTTCAGGAACCATGTTCATCCATCTTCTGTGATATAATATAGCAGGACGTGTTTTCTGTGTTTTCCATTTTTGACTCGAAAGACGAGTCGGAAGGGAGTCGTTCAACCCGCGGCGGAAGCTCCACCGCGCCATGTGGATCGATGGATCCCCAGATTGGACCGTCCCGCCCGAGCGGTTGGAGATGCTTCAGGAGTCTGAGGCTGAGAGTCGAGGTGCGAAGCGAGGCTGAGAGATGCGCAACTGACGTTGGGAAGGGTTTAGGGTTGAATCTCAAGTATTTGGGGCGTACATTGTAGCTAGATCATCCTAGATGTTCATTTTTTGTATTGTTCGTCAACTTGGGCGTGAAGCTGTATAAGTCATTGTTTGTGGGCAATGACGATGGACCCAGTGCATCCGGCAGCTGAGGGCTGAAAAGTTTGACAACAAGTTCAACATCCTGAAGAACTTGGACAGCTGGGCCCAGCTTTGTGTGGTGCTTTGGGATCGCAACACTAACATGTCAACAACATTAGTGACATGCTATCATTGTCTCATCATGATTCACTACTCACTACGCCTCGTTAAAGTTCCAGGACACTTGAGACTGTCTCCATGCTGTCTACGGATCCGGCTCGCCAAATCAAAGGGACTTGTCGTTCGCAGAAATGAATGCCATGGCACTTTCGCCCATCATGCTGCACGCGTGGCTGACAACTGTATATCTATGTCTTCCGAGTAGTGAGAATCGATATGAATCCCACTTTTATTAGGAGACGTTAGGAGTGTGTGTCGGTGGTTTATTAAGTAGTTCGGAGATGCTGGGAGCGCTCCTGGGAAATACGGTCCACGACTTCTTGGGATCTGCCGACGTGGTCCGTCCGCTGTCGGCTGTCCGTCGTCAGGAGCTGCTGCGCGTGGTGGGGGCCAACGACCGTACGGCGGTGATACAGCTGGTCACTGCAGGAGGTCCCAGGAGGTCATGTGGACCGGATGAGGTCTCAGCTGTGCCAGAGGATCAGATGGATTCAGGATGATCAGATGGGTGGATGATCAGATGCTCTGAGAATTTCAGAGCTGAGTCAGTTGACATTGGATTGAACCAGGTTTGTGTTGGTCTTCCGAGATGGATGCGTACGAATTCCATGGCACCATGGATTACCATCGGCTCTATTTTGTCCTTGAATCACCAGCCATGGACTCGTCACTGAGGTGGGGGATGGGGTGGGCACCAATCTGGCAGACATCAACTTCCAGGATGCCCAGGCGTGGCAGCTCGAAAGTCGAATGAGCGGAGAGCTCAAGAAGACAGCAGCAGTGACTGGGTGACGAAGAGCTTCTCATTTAGCTTTGCGCTTTTAGAGCTAAACTCCGACGATCACGAAGTTGAAACCGCCCGCGTTCGTTTTTTGGGAATATCGTCATGCAAGGGCCCATGTTATCATGTTCCATGTGAGTCGGAACGGAATCAACAAGCTTTGGCGCCCGGATGTTCTTTGTGCAACAAGTGTTGCCCATTGTTGCGCATACCGTAGCACAGGACATATGCCATGCCCCGACTTCGTTTTGAACGCTGTCGCCACATATATGGGTCAACACCGTCAGCAAGGGTTGTTGTGTTCCTGCCGCCAGGGCCGACAGGCCTACCACATCGCGATCCTTTGCATCGGTGATGAGGATACTTGCTGGTCTGAATCCAGGGCAAATCTGTGTGTATTGTGTGTGTAGTATGGTGGATGCTGAGGGTCCTCCAACCAAAACCATCAGACAGCCTTCCGCTATCTCACATTCAGCTGGCATTTCTCTCCAGGAGGAGAGCTGTTCCATGTGGGAGCCCTGGTCAGTCAGCGACGTGTGAGTGCATCGCAGTTCCGAATGGGCATCCAACATGGCAGTAGCTCCCACATATATAGGATCCTATCCAAACCCCCCTGTTGAAACAGAGCAAGTATGGCAGTCAGTAGACCAAACCCGGTTCGGGATTTTTTTGGGGGTGAGCCATGGTGAGCCACATCCATATGAGAGAGTGGGAGACCATGACTCCAACATAGAAACTTCTATCCATGTGATCGGTCTCCAAAGCCCGGCGATCTTATGGGATGTACCGATATGTATCCGATCCCATTTGCCTACAATTTGGAGAGATGTTTTTCATTGTTCTTCACATATTTGATTGCAACATGGTCGGTTAGTGACCTTCAAACTACTAGGCGTTTTTGAGTTTCGATTTTGTCAAGTCTTCAATTCAAGGCTGCGGACCTTGTTCTTGCTAAAGGGGCAGGCGTGTGGGCGGGCTTGGTTCAGTTGAAGCTTTTTGGACCACACCTGGGGGTGAAAACAAAAGGCCACATGATCCGGTGTCCTAAGGCACTTTTGACTCTTCTACAGTGAGTTTTTGCTTTGAACCTTAAGTTTTGCCAGAGCTCCACTGGAAAAAAAGCAGCACTCGACTCGACTCGGTGGCTCGACCATGCTTTTCCCTGACTCGGGATGCCTCACCTGTGCAGATCAATGGCCAAGACTTTCTGGGTCAAACGCCTCTTCACTTGGCGGCGCGCATCGGCCACTCGGCCGTCGCCAGCGAGCAATCGACGTCGGCGAAGGAAGACCACTCGACGAAGTACCGGGATCGGATGGGGGAGGGATCGAAGGGTGGAACCGCTGTGGAACTCAAGGGATCCACGGTTAAAATGTTGCAACAGGTGTGAGTAGCACGTCCTTTTATAGTTTCTTGGGGGGATGAATTCTCATCAGGAAAATGTTTCAACAGTTTTGGGAGCTGGAGCAGCCAGGGAGATACTCAATGATCACAAGTTATGCGGCTGACTCTCGGACAGCCTTTAGGAGAACATTGATGAGGGCGTTGTTTCTTGTTCATAGCCCGGTCCATTTGTGGGTTGTTTTTTTTTCGCACATGGTCAGGGCAGTTGGTCTCATCAGTCTTCGAAACCCATGGGGTCAAAGCTGGAAGTAAGTCGCCGATCGGATTGAAGCCGATCTTGGCGACCCGTCGCAGATGCGAAAGTGGGTGTCGCCAGCAACCAACCTTGAACAAACACAGCTACTCGAAGCGGAAGGGGCGCGGAAGGGGCTCTTGCGGTTTGCACTAAACCGGTTGGCCTTGCATGGTGCTTAAGTTGACATTCCTCCCTGGCTTTTAACGGCTTCGTCCACCAGCTACACGGATCTACACGGCCTATCTATGCTTGTTCCACGTTCCTTCACGTTCCCGCATGGTGCGCGCAACCACTGGGGTTGAACCCGTTCACAACCCGTTCACCTTGGGACAGTCCCCAACCGTCCAGATCGATCAGACCAGGTCGTTGCGAGGCTGGTCGCGGTGGCTGTGTCGAGGGCCTGTCGATGGCTGTGTGATCGTCCTTTGGGCCCACAATCGTCATGGGGTCACTCCATCTAGGATTCAACCGCTGGGTGTCCTGATGTGTTTGTTTCTGTCTTTTTTTCTCTAGCTCGCGTCCCTCACCAGCCGGGTCGGTCTAGATGCCCCCCCAACACATCAAGGGCTTTTGAAAAAAAACACATCCAGATGTGGGATGTGCAAGCAGATTGAAGACCATAGTGACTGAATTTTCATGTTCCTTCAGTTTCCCTTTTGCCTGCGACTTGGCTATCAAAGCATCGGAGTCTATTACCCTTGTATTGCATGATTGCTATTGAGGTAATCAATGACTGGCGTATATAAATATATGTTATTATGTAATATATAACAATAATAACAATAATAATAACAATATATATATATATATGTATGTACACACCATTCTTTCCTCTATGCTTGTGTGCCACTACAACTTGTGAAATTGGAACATAGGACTGGTGAATCTGAACCGAAAGGACCAGTTCTCTTTTTTGTCCTCCTTTGAACATCGTGAAAAGCGCTACACGCGGACCGAACCTCGGACGAGTTCGGAGCTTCCTTTTCCCCAGTGCGCGAAGACGCTTCTGGCGCTCAAGGCCTGGAAGGGTGTGGAAGTCTGGACGGAGAACGGAGGATCCAACATGGTTGTTTGTTTTTTGTATTTTTCTTTGGGGTCCGGGGTGGATTGGGATTTGGAAAGTAAGGCCACCCTCAAGCATCACAGACGTTCCTTTGTTGGTAAAAGTTCAGGGAACCATAAGAGAGTAGCGGAGTGAAATTGTGGACTATGATGTGTGCGGGCTTATGGTTGGATCAGCAGACTTGACACACCTACAGAACGTCTCCACCTCTCCACCAAGTGAGGGCTGCTGACTAGTTGTTGGGACTAATTTGGCAAAGGGCGTGGGTGGACTTGAGTCCATGAACGATGATGGTGGTGATGGTGCTATACAGATTTGCCTGGAGATCAATCCTTGCCCTCGATTGTAGTCTTGAGATGTTTGTTTATGTCTGTTTGGAGAACCCTTTTTGCCCTTCGCTTACCTGTCCTAATAGATCAGACTAGTACAGAAGTGGGAGCAGGATGCACTCTCAAAAGTTCCAGGGCCATCCTGAAGATGTTCCATTCCGAGCAGTACTTTCCTATGGCCCCGCCCGCCCTCCAAGGCGCACCCTGGCCTCAAGGACAAGCGTGGCCCGGCACCCCCGGTGAGCCGTTCCAGGAACGGAGATCGGAGAGATCGTCGGAGAGGTCGTATGGTATGGTCGTGTGTGTCCACTGGGAAGCAAATGAGTTCAAATGAACCATGTTCAAAGATGGGAGCCTCAAAGCTGCTGGCTGATAGTATGTGGGGTGTGCGACATGAGAACAAGTTTGGCCCACACTTTCAGAGTGCCATATTGTGAACATACCCAAGTAGTCGAGCATTTACAATCGTTTACACAACTACCCACTCCTTCTTGAAAGACCTTGAAACAAAAGTACACATATATATATATAATATATATATATATGTATGTATGTAACTCTCAATAAACTGTTGCCAAGATTTTGGTTCAAAGGTTCCTTGTTTGTGCCATGCCTCAATTGACCTAACAACCATTTAACCACCAAACAGGCCTTTGGAGAACAACAAACATGGCCGGACCGTGGCCGCCGCGCGGCTCCTTAGGTCGCACGCCTCTCATGGTGGCCGCGGCCGCCAACCTGGATGATCTTCGCGCACCTCCGCCGGGGGTCCCGGAAGGTCGATGAAGGTCGATGTGTTTTGTGTTTTGTCAGTGCAGTATACATGGTGAATATATGAATAATGTCTATAACTATAGATGCATAGGTATCATTTAGACTCTAGACTTAGATCAACAATGAATCAACAACATATGTGTTTCATTGTTGTTTGTGTGTGTGCTTTTCCGGGGTCGAAATGCCTTAAACTGACCTTGGATCTGCGATTCCGATCAGGTTGAGGATTCAGAAGCCTAAGTTGCAGAAGATAAAGCCTCAAAGTTGGCCCATTTGACAGCAGATGCTGGCAGAAAAGACAGCAGTGAAGCACTGAGACCAATTCAATAACAATGTATCCGACTCATTTGGGCATGCTGATGTTGGCTATGGTACTGATCCCACATTTTGTGGCGGTACTGTTGATTTGAGAGCCAAGTCGGCATGGTTCAACTGTAGTCGGAGTCCGATGGCGGGCATGACAATGGCGTTTGAGAAAGGGATGCAGTTGGCGGAAGAGGGCCAGTTTGCTGATGCAATCGCCTGTTGCTTGGCATTCCTTTGTCAGAAGCCACTTTCAACTGTTCCTTCAAGAGATTGCTGAGAATCCTTCGACCACAGGAAATGGAGAGCTATCCTACAGTAAGAGGCCTGCATACTGGAGAGCACCAACACCGAAGAAGATTGCTTCAATACTGACTGTGTAGCGGTACATACCTACATCCGCGATGTCCATATTCACGATTGCTACATACTAAGTTACTAGTACACCACTGTCGTGTATAAATGTATAATGTATATACGCCACTGCTGGACATTTGATTTGCAGTCCGAACTTACCAAGATTACTCAAGATTACTTATGATTACTCAGTACGGTCGACCGGTGGATTGCCGCACAAAATCGCAGAGGTTTCCGCAAGGCGATCGCGGAAGGCTTGGAGACTCCTGAAGTCTTCGAGTGCTTGGCTCAATGTGCCCTGGCAGGTCGAGTGCTTGGCTCCGTGTAGGGTTGGCGTGTTTTGGTCAGACTGCCTCAATAGATCATCTCCATTGGGCGCGCAATGGCGCGCAGTAGACATATGGAAACCATCCGCGATCATTTGAGGCCCCAGAAGGTCCCTACGTGGGGAGTCCCTCATGAGTAGGGATCCCAAAATCTAGATCTCTTCATGAGGAAATGTTATTGACCATTCTCAATCAGTTAGTATAGTAGAGTGCGGTATTATAGAAGATATGACCACATATGACCACTACTAAAAGATCTAAAAGTAGTGCTTCTAATTGAACAGGGCCGCGGCAAATAAAAGATTGACATGTTTGCAATTGTTGAAAAAAGTTTGTCACTACTAGTTTAAGGAAGGCAGGCAGGCAGGGAGGGAGGGAGGGAAAAAAGCTACTTTTGGCCTTTGCTCCTTTCTTTCTCTCCCCTTCCTTTTTTCCTCTGGCAATTTTCGCGGTATTACGCCTGGCCTTTCTTTGTCTCCGTTACGTTCATTTCCTTTTTACTATACGCTTTCTTGGCTTTTCCATGTCAATCCTTTTTCGTTGTTTCTTGTTGAACTTCATTAACCAGACGGAATGAGAAAAAAAAGTTGGCAAAACTAGGGAAGAACGGCGGTTAGTGAGTAGTGTTGCAGGATGTTGCAGGATATTTTTGAGGAAAAGCAGGATCTTACTCATTGGTGCGGGTATTGAGCACCAATTTTGGGACAAAAGACCGGACAGTTGTTTGCAAGGTGGTTAATATTGCAGAAAAGACAGGCCTGGCGGCCTTACTAATAGAGGCGGGTTCCTGCACATTTAAGACAGATGGAAAAAGAATGAATTGGTAAGACATATATACATACACATATACATACACATAATATAGTTAAAAGATGTTAAGCGGGCTGAAAGGGAAAAGAAGCGGTTGGTATTGCAACGTATTGCAGTTTGTTTTCGGTAAAAAGGACCTGACTAATTGGGGGTGTTATTGAGTATCAACATTGGAAACTTGACAGTAAGGTTTGAAAGGCGGTTAGTATTGCAGGACAGCAAGCCCTACTATTTAATGGAGAGGGTTTGCTCAATCATGGATTTTGTGTTGCATTGGTGATGTGCTGTGTTGGTCGACACGTTCAGAGGTCTTGTGTTTTCATGCATTTTCCTTGTCCTGTCCACGGGCAATTGCCGAGTCTGTGGGTAGGCCACCTGGTTGCCCATATCCACTAGTAGCTCCACTTGTGCAGTTTGGCCTCTCTACTGCTACCAATGGGACCGAGTTGGAACAGAGAGCTTGGTTCGGACCGTCGGACTTCGCCGGGAGATGCTGGGTGATTGTGTCCAACTGGTTGGGATAGTTCCGGGCTACTCTTGAAGCACTCGGGGGTGCTGTCACCAGTTGTCCAAATTCCAGGGTGGAGGGTTGCAGGGTGGAGTGTTGCTGCCTGTTTGCTGTAAAGGCACTGCGGAAGGAGACCCATTGCTGTATGTAGATTTGACATTGATTCCGCGGTGTGGGCTGTCAGAAGGACGATATATGGCCCTTTCATGTTATTGTAATATCATGACGCCTTGTGCAGTCCATGTTCCAAAAGGGGTCTAGTCCTATTTGGCTCCGTGCAGCCGCCCGGACTCGGTGCTCAGGCGAGATGATGTTGGACACCTTGAGCTCGTCCCAGCGCGCCGTGGTCGCCGCCCAGGAAGCCCTCCAGCGCCTGGGAGCCGAGGAGGCACCTGGGAGGCTGAGCTGGGCAGCTCGGGTGCACCAAGCAAGGAATTGGGAGAGGCAAACCGGGACTAGGGAGGGAGGGCACAAAGAATCAATGTGAGACATAAAGAATTACAGGATCCGCAGGTGTTTGTTTCTAGATTCTGGTGTTTTGCTTGGAGCAAGTTGTTTGGTTTGAGCCTGCACTGGAGGAGCCTTCCGGCCTTCCGGAGGGTGGTTAATCCTGTCCTGTCCACCTAATAACAAACCTAATTAAAAACACGGGCCCCCCCCAATAAGGAAACCTCTTTTTCGCATTTTTTAAATAGGGGGTCCTTGAGATCGTGGGTTCCAATTTTGGGTCACGTGGGAAGAGCTTCAATACCAAAAAGTCACCCAGTAAAATTTTATATAAAATAGCTTAATAAACTCGTATCAAACATTCAAACTCCAGATGGAAGGGTTTTCTTCCTTTTCCCCTACAACAACCTGTATTAGAATAGTGATTCTTCAGTAAACTAACAACTAAAGCTTTCGAAAGGTGATGTCGCTGTGCCATGCGGTTTTGCATGACCTCGGTGGCAAGTGCGTTTGCGTGAGTCCGTGCCATTGAGGGAAGGAAAGCCTGCTGGTGTAAGCGCGGCGTGTCATGGTGGATAGATTTGTTTTTGGAACCTAATAATAAATACTCTTCCAAAATCGGCAATGGTTCAGTAGCGGCTTGAAAGGGCGGTAATTAAAAACGAGAATGAACCGTATTTAGGGGATTCTGATATGATTTTTTAAATAGGGGTCCGTTTTTCAATAGGTGCTCGGGATTCTTGGGTGTGGTTCCGGCTTGTCCAGATGCATGGAGCATGGTCCTTTTGACTACTAAGAAGATGCAGCGGAAGTTGGCCAGAATCGTGTGGGCTGGGTGCTGTTGGCGAGGAAGTGGCTAATTCTCTGGGAGTCAAAACCTCTTCTCACCAGGACTTCCGAAGCGGGTTGCGTTCTAAATTTCAATTCCACTGTGTTAAGGACCCACAAATTTAGTATGGGTGATACCGGTACGTCCACATTTTGTGGAACCTTCTGAGTTATAAAGGAACAAGTTAGAATTGGGACTGCATTCCGCTGCCCTGGTTTCCAAAACTTGCGGTATTTTAGGTCGATGCTACGCTGACCTTGGCGCGTGCATTGAGATGCAATTTTGACCTCCCTGCTGCTGCTCGGGTAGAAATAGAGGGAGAAGCATTGACTTGGCCGGCACCGTGATGCGTCGTTTTTCTGTGCCTGAAATGTTCACGTCTCGCCATGTTTCGGCCATACATGGCCATACCATGCCATACCATACCCCAATCTTCCGGAACCTTGGTAAATACACAACTGTGTAGCTAGATTTGCCAGGCTGAGATCTTGGAATGTATCCTCAGAAAAAACTACAAAAGAAAGTACAAACACATGGCATGTTTTACAGAGTTTTGGTTGCTTTGAATGTCCCCTTCTAGAAGTCTAGAAGGTTGATAGATGATTCTTTCCAACTGCTTACACAGATGTGACTTGTGTGGCCCGATGGGAACCTCACGCTGCTTATGATTGCGGGCCAATCCTAAAGTTGCAAGTCAAGAGTGAGTTATTGCACAAACCATCCGGCCTCGCGGGCCCTATCAGATCAACACAGACTTAACACAGATCGCAATGATCGCAGCGAAACATGTTTGTAGAAGTAGCTTTACTGCCATGTGCAGGGATTCCATTCCACACGGGTCCTTTACATCTTATGTCATGCCGATTGTGTGTCATCAGTCAGCAGTTTGACCAAATGGAATCCCAAGTCCAAGTTTGTGCAGCTTTACAGGAAGATCAATGCAAAGGTTTTCCACCTTCATTTTTTCACTCAACCTTCGCATTTTCATTCAGGACCTAGTTCCACCCTCCCTTCACTTCTTTCACATCAAACCTCAACATACCTCAACGACATCAAGCTCAGATTCTCCACGGAGTCAGGCGGTCGATGCGTACCACGCTGCCGTGCGTTTGGGTGCCTCTGCGCCGGCAGAGCTCCAGAGCGCCGAGGAGGAGCTGCTGGAGCACCGGCGGCGCCGCTCGCCGATGGCTTGTTTTGGGATGTTTTGGGGACCAAGTAGCGGACAGCATGGGGAGCGCAAAAATACATCAGGAGGAATAGGTGTTTTTTTGATGTTGTTTTTCCTGTTTAAGATTTGTTTTATGATTTTAACATCTATGTGGATCAGCCGTGGTCGAATTAAGATGAATTAAGTAAGACGTCCATTTCGCGTGGCCAGTGTGGGACGGTCAGCTTTGGTGTATGCAAGCAATGTGTTTTTCTCTTTTCTTGGAGGTGTTGGATAGGGGTTGGGGAAGAGTTGGTCCAGTTTGGTGGAATGCAAGATGCCCTATTTTGTTAGGTGAATTCCTCGTGACAGCTACGTTTCTATGCAAGTTAGGAAGAAAAGAACTGCTCACTGCAGAACATTGGGGATTGGAGGGGAGTAGTCGTCTATATTCATTGCATATGTTTGTTGAACATTCTTGAGTGGAAACAAGTTCAGCTCCAGAAGATTCATTCCAGGATGTTCAACGCATCCAGTCCTCTATTTGCGTTTATTCCTGCAATTTAGAAGTCCTTCTTTGCTTCTCAAAGCGGTTTAACACCGAACCCTAATTCAAATTCCAGACAACTTATATAACTTATATATATATATTAGAAAACCTTTTCAGCAACTGCACCATTGCACATTGCTGAAACATCTTCACCTTCGGGTTCCCATTAGCACTCAAACATTATAGTTCAGCCTCCGGCTAGGCTAGCGTACGATGGCGCCTGAGTTCAGCCTCCGGCGAGCCTCCGCACGAGGCGAGCCTCCGCACACACGACTCGACTCAAGGCCTCAAGCGTTTGCCCTCCATGGAGGGATGGCACCGCCGCTTCCAGCGACAAATCGACCGTGCCAAGCGACTGCGGAGACCGGAGTGGAGTGCTGAGAAGTGGAGATCAAACAACCTGGCCGCTATGGATCTTGGATGGATCGAAGAGGCTGTGACTGTTTGTTGGATGAAAGATCTTCACTTCCCAGTGTGTGGATTGGGAACGAAGCACGTATTTAATCGTATTTATAAAGAGTTGTTCAATGGTGATGTGGGGACATGTTGGGTCATTTGTATGTCACCATTGTTTGAACAATTATTTGCTATATTGTTTTGGTGGACTCACTTAGGGGACATAGCATATGCTGGTGCATCGGGTGGTTGGATTCAGTGGCTTACCATTGTGCTTATTTCGCCATTTATGACCGAAGTTCGGCTAAGGACCTGACCCAGATCTTCGGCAGAGGCAAGGGAAACATCACACGGGTGACTGGTAGCGCAGACTTTGGAGCTTTGTACCAGGGCACCTCTACACCTGTTGTTCTTGTTGGGGCTATGCATGGCTGGGCGGCAACTGGGAATGACCAAACCAGAACATTTTTAATTTATGAGCTGCGTTTATGAGTCAAGTATAGTCAAGTGTTGTTTGTTTTTAACTTGATGTGAAATGCATTGAAATACTGAAGCTTTGTGGGCTCAGACCACTAGCACACTTATATAACCAGAAATTCAGTGACTGCGTATTTGTTTGATGTCCGAGCATTCGCTCGGAATTACGGCGGTGGCATACGGTTCAGTGATCAAGAGATGTGGTTTTTGAGCATGCTTAGGAACAAGTGCGTCGCTACTAGTAACAAGTGCCTTACTAGTAGTAACAAGAAGCTATTAGAAACAAGCGCCTTACTAGTTCAAAGTCACGACGTCGATGAATTCAATCACTTATAGTTTCTATATGTTTCTATTAATATGCACGGTCGACTGTGCACCGGCATGTAATGACATATGTACAAACGCCCCCGGGGTATAAGATGCACGTTCATGTTTTGTCCTGTAGCGTCTCGGCTTTCAGCAGTTGGATGGCCTGTCCTGACTGTGGCCTTGGGCACAGGACAGGAGGTGCGCTGTGCTCGGTCTGTCGAGCGGTTGAGAGGATCCGCACCCTGTGCAAGGGAGGAACCCTTCTTCGTAGCCAGGAAGCGGCGGCGCTCCTGATCCTTCGAACCGCGGTGGGTGACTTGCAGGACTTGGCCGAGCTTGCAGCGCCAGTGTTGGAGGCTGAGAGTAGGGCAGCAAATCCACTACCTCAGACCGGGAGCGGGGAGGCTCCTGACGTCCGGGCCAAGGTTGAGGTTGAGCATCCACCGTCTCCGAGTACATCAGCGCCTGAGATACCCCCAGGGGACTTTGACGTGAAGCCCAAGGAGGAACACGTTGAGGAGAAGGAGCCTGTTGAGTTGGTGCGTGAGACCAAGGAGAAGAAGCAGGAGACCGAACGTGACAAGGAGGAGAAGCCGAAGAAGTTGAAGAAGCGAAAGCACAAGAGTGGCCCATCAAGGAAGAAGGAGAAGGCGAGACGTGAGAAGAAGGAGAGCAGGAGTAGCAAGGCAGCCGGTGCTGGGAGCACTGGAGTTGACTTGAGTGATCCAGCCACAAGCACTGAAGTCAAAGATCAAGTTGTTGCACGGCATCCCAGCCAGTACAACTTACGTCCCGCTCCAAAAGGGACCGTTGCCAAGCATTTCGCCCACTACGACTTACCACCACCTCCGCCTGCGCCCAAGCGGCCCAGGAGCCCAGACCACCCACCACCTGCCAGGCGTGGTTGGGAGGCCGACCGAGGTGACCGGAGACATCGTCGTGAGAGATCAAGGTCAATCGAACGTGCACCGGCGAGAAAGCGGGGCACCAAGGGAGTCAAGCACAGGGAGAGAGGCCGTTACTGGCCTCGTCGCCGCTAGAGTGAGCAATGCCGCCCAAGGCAAAGGGCGGAGCGAAAGCCAAGGCCAAGGCTCATGCCCGGGCCAAGGCTGGTGCAGCTATGAGGGTGGCGCCTTTGAGGCATCGAGGACGAGGAGTTCTACGACGACCGGCGGGCCACCCAGGAGGAGAAGGAGCTCCTGTGCCTCGGGAGCTGTGGAAGGCGGGCAGCGTGCTGCAGGCCGAGGACGTGCCACTGGTCGAGTTGGCGCAGGGGGTCGAGGTGGTTGTGCAAGAGGGCAGCTACTTCAACGGCCCTTGTCGAGTAGCAGGCATCATCCGAGGGGTCGAAGTGGACCGGGACGCCTGCCATGTTCTTCTTCAAGCAACCGGGACCGATTGCGAGAGTCTCCTACGGCATTGTTCGGGAGCACCCAAGGAGCAGCTCCGAGGGCACCTGTGCGGCGTGGCCTGCACAGGAGACAGGGTCGCCGACAATCTCGTCCATATCAAGAGGCTGCGGTTGGCCAAACCTCGAGGAGAAGAAGATCATTGGTGCCGGAACTTGGAGGCAGTAGAGATTCCCGCAGCCGACGACCTCCGCGACCTCCGGGAGAAGCGGGCAGACCTCAACGAGGAGAAGAAGAAGGAGAAGAGCCAGTCTCGGGGCAAGGATCGCAGCAGAGGCCGGCGAAAGAAGGAGAAGAAGAAGGAGCGAAGTCCGGGCAAGAAGAAGAGGAAGAGATCACGCACACCGTCCAGGGGGCGGCAGCAGAAAGATCGCGGACGTGGCAGCAAGGAGAGGAAGGCAGCGGATCAGAGCTCGTCCACCTCGAGTATGAGCATCCGGACAGATGGCACCACACCAAGAGGAGCTTCGTCGAAGGCCCTGCAAGCGCTGTTTGCAGGCACAGGGCTAGACAAGAGGGAGAAGGTCCAACGTCGGGTGGCCAGGAAGGCGAGGCGTGTGATCAGAAGGAAGAAGACCGGCAGAGGCGGGAGCACCAGCCGGAGCTCCTCGACAGAGAGGGACGAGGAGATCGACTTCGGCCAGGAGGAGGGGTTCTTCGAGGGAGCCACGAAAGTGCAAAGGGTGGCCGAGAGCTGCCCAGGCGCCCTGGGAGCCCGGTCCTTGACCGACATGAGAAGGGTTCTACTTCAAGGCGCAGGCCTCGACGAGCAGAACCAGCTGGTGACACCTACGGCCATACAGTACTTTCGGCAGGAGCTTCAGCGGAAGAGCACTGGGCCGGTGGCCCGGGAACTTCTGACGATATGCACTGCAGTCGACTGGCTGTTGCGGGGTCGTGCCGCTCAGGCGGTCGATTGCCTCCTCCAACGTGTGAAGTCGGTGGAGGCGACTATGTCGGGGAGTCACTGGAGCGTTTCCCAGAGATTAGAAATCCCACCTATGGACCTGCAAACAATTGCTCCTCGAGAAGAACTGATGAGTGCTCAGAAGGCGGCTGCGGAAGACGCCAAGACAAGGCATTTGGCATCCCTCCCGGATGGGAGGTCCCGTGGCAAGGGGCAGAGCAAAGCCAAGGAGGGAGCAGGCCAAGAGGCTGGGAGGCGAGATCGCGATCGAGGCAAAGGCAAAGGGTCCGGCAAGCAAGACAAAGGCAAGAAGAGAGAGGAGGAGGCAAAGTAGAGGCTGGCTCCTGGGTTCGGGAGCCTAACTATGAAGGAGGTTGTGGAGACCTACAGTTGAGCTGCGCTGGGCTCAGCGATGAGCAACATGGCTTGGTGCAGGAGCAACTGGGGCAGTTTTCCGATGGCATGCCAGCCGGAGTCATTAGCGCTGTGGCTGATGAGGTGCCCATGTCGGGCGCCGATGAGTTTCAAGAGTTCCCGCCAAGACCACCCTCTTTTCATGGAAGTGGTCACGAGGGAAGATCACCCGCACATGTCGAGATGACTGCGGAAAAAAAGTGAGAGCGGTTTGGAACGAGTCGATTCGTCGGTTTCGGGCTCGGGGTCATTCTTGGTGCAAAAAACTTCTGGAGGTCCTTCCACTTCGCAGCAAGTCCACGGGTAGGGTTGCAAGTTCCGCCATTTTGCCCTTACCCACCTCCAGAAAAGTGTTTATGCACCTGTGGCCCGGTTGTCCGGAACATGTTGTGCAATGGATCACCTGTGTTTGCTTGTCGTTGAACTCCTTTTGGGGGGGACACGATCCTTTCTGAGCGGGTGCCTACAACTTTTCAGAAAAGAGCTTTGGATTTTATCAAGGAGGATGTGACACGTTTTTGTGATTTAGGTTTGCAAATGGTTGGGGTTGACTGGGACCAATTCTTCATGGTACGAGGCATCGATTACAAGGGCGATGAGGTTCGGGTTGCAAGAAGGGTCAACTGGGCCAACATTGCTCCTGCCCCCCGAAAGAGATCGGGGCGGTGCCACTTGAGGAAGTGTGCACTCTGGGGTGTCGGGAGTATGTTTGCTCCTTTGATGGGTTCATCAAGGCGCGGGAGCAATGGGGGCGGATCACCAGGCCCAAGGTCATGGTGGATGACGCTGATTGGCCACGCGTCTGCACCGGCCTGCTCGAGGCGGGGGTCTGTGCCCTCATCGAGGAGGAGCTTGTCTTCCAAACAGGCGAAGGTCCGTTGCTGAACGGCATGTTCGGAGTTAGCAAGGACGAATGGACGGAGGACGGAACAGAAATCTGCCGTCTAATTATGAATTTAGTGCCATTGAACGCCATATGTCAGCCCCTTTCCGGGGACGTTGATACCTTACCCTCATGGGGAATGATGAATCCTTATTTCTTGCAACCTGGCGAAAACCTTTTGGTCTCTTCTGAAGATGTGAAGTGTTTTTTCTATACCATGAAGGTGCCTGAGGCATGGATCAAGTACTTAGCCTTCAACAAGTGTGTACCAGACGTGTGCTTACCAAAGCACATGCAAGGGCAAACTGTCTATTTGGCCTCCAGGGTCTTGCCGATGGGGTTTCTCAACTCCGTGAGCCTAGCACAGAATGTGCACAGGAACTTGGTCAAATGGGCAAGACATGATGGCGAACAGGTACACTATGAGGAGTGTGAGTTGCGTAAAGACCGTCCGTTTACGGTGTCGTCATCTTCTTGGAGGGTCTACCTGGACAACTATGACCTTCTGGAAAAGGTGGAGGCAACAGGCATGGTTGAACTGGAGGGGACTACACCTGTTGGGATCCTGGCGCTGAGGTCTGAGTACCTTCACTGGCAAGTTCCTCGTAACGCCAAGAAGGGGGTCGTTCGTTCAGCCCACTGTGAACTTCAGGGAGCGACGGTTGATGGGATGCGTGGTTTGGCCTTCCCCAAGGAGTCCAAGTTGAGCAAATACTACAGCTTAGCGTTGAAACTGCTGCACCAACCAGTGGTGAGCCAGCGTCAACTGCAGGTGGTGTGCGGAGGCCTTGTTTACTTTGCTATGTTCAGACGGCCAACCCTGGGGGCTTTGAACGCCGTTTGGCGCTTCATCGAGAGCTTCAACGAGGCGGGACCGGTGCACCGCGCACTGCCCCACGAGTGCCGCTTGGAGCTCTTGCGGTTCTTAGGGATGATGCCACTCATCCGGATGAACTTCAGGCTAGCCGTCGATTCCATGGCCACCTGTAGCGATGCCTCGACCACTGGAGGTGGGGTCTGCTGCTCTCGGGGTCTCACCCCGGCGGGGCACATGGCAGCCAGCGGTGAGCTGAGAGGTAGGTTACCTCGCGCACTGTCGGAGCACACAGTGCTCTTGGTTGGGCTCTTTGACGGGATCGGAGCCCTTAGGGTTGCAACAGACCTCCAAGGAGTCCAGGTCATTGGATACATCTCTGTTGAGAAGAATCCTCAAGCTCGGCGGGTGGTCGAATCACATTACCCTGGAGTGGAGCATGTGGATGACGTGGCAACCATCTCTCCCGAAGTGATCAAAGGTTGGAGTCTTCGATATTCCCAGTGTAGTCTGGTTTTAGTAGGCGCGGGACCACCTTGTCAAGGAGTTTCAGGACTCAACACGGACCGCAAGGGAGCGCTCAAGGACGAGCGCTCCTGCCTTTTCTCCCATGTCCCGAGGATCAGAGACATGCTGCGGCTGGCGTTCCCGTGGGCGGCTGTTCACGTCCTGATGGAATCGGTGAGCTCTATGGACGCCAAGGATCGCGACATCATGACTCGGGGCTTTGGAGGGCAGCCGGTGCAGATTGATGCAGGCGAGATGACTTGGTGCCACCGACCTCGCCTCTACTGGACCACTTGGGACTTGGTCGAAGAGCCTGGGGCGACGCAGGTGGCGGGAGCTGAGGTCAGCTCCTGGCGGTTGGTGGCTGAACAAGAGATTCGGCATGTTGTGGCGCCCGGGTGGACCAAGGTGGTGGCCACCAAAGCGTTTCCCACCTTTACCACATCTCGACCATCCGTGGTGCCGGGTCGCAAGCCCGCCGGGTTGAAGCATTGTACACCGGAGGCATTGAGCAGGTGGCAGGGGGACCTACATCGCTTCCCGCCATACCAATATCAGGACGTGCATTGTGTTGTGAATCGGAAAGGTGTGCTACGTGTTCCCTCTGTCGCTGAACGTGAGCTTATGCTCGGGTTCCCTTTGGGGTATACTGCCAACTGCGTACCCAAGGGCGAACGCAAGCTGACATCGACCAATGACGTGCGGCTGACGCTTCTAGGCAACAGCTGGAGTGTGCCTGTCGTTGCATGGTTGCTGAACCAGTTGTTGAGGCAGTTGGGCATGGCGCCGGCGTTGGGACCTCAGGACATTGTGGATCTCTGCGAGCCGGGGGCAGCGGCATCCGTTCAGGAGCGTTTGATTCGTTTGCCTCTGTCGCATAAGAAGGGTAGCTTCGGCAAGGAGGGGGTGTTGGCCACCAAGCTGGCCAACCTCATTAGCCTCAAGGGCGAGGACATTTTACTGACCACGCCTAGTACGCAGATGGCACGTTTCCATAGGTTGCGGGCATCGGTTCCAGCCCGCCTCTGGAGATGGAGAATAGTGACTGGATGGCACTGGACCCGTGGCAAGGAGCACATAAATTCTCTGGAGATGCGGGCGATCCTCAACGCGGTCCGCTGGCGCATAGAACATCAGGGACATCTTGGCTGCCGCATGTTGCATCTTACTGACAGTTTAGTATGCTTGCACGCCCTCACGCGGGGAAGAACCAGTTCCCGCAAGTTGCGTGCCACGATCTCCCGCATTAACGCGCTTCTGCTCTGTAGCAATGCTCAAGTCATCTGGGCCTACGTGGCCACAGACAGTAACCCCGCCGATAAACCCAGCCGTTGGGGTAGGCGGGTTCGCACCAAATATCGGCATGCCTAAAAGGCACCTTGAAGCAGCTACAGAAGAAGCGCGCGGGAAGATACGTCGGCAGTTGGGGACGTTGAGACAACTTACGGTGCAGCCAAGCACTAGGAAGCGATATGACAAAGCCTTGCAGGGGTTTTTCTCTTTTCTGACCTCCGAAGGTTTGGATTTGCCCACGGACAAGCGGCTGCTGGACCCCATTGTCTGTGATTACCTGGAAACACTCTGGTTTGAGGGAAAAGGTCGGGCGCAGGCCTGTGATACCCTCGCAGCTCTGCAAGACTCGCAGCCAGGCCTGCGGAACAACCTGCCGGGAGCATGGCGGCTCCTGCGTACGTGGCAGGCCAACGAGATCCCTTCTCGTGCTCCGCCACTGCCAGAACACATAGTACTGGCCATGGCCGGCTGGAGCCTATTCCATGGCTGGGTCTCCTTTGCTTTGTCACTTTTAATTGGGTTTTACTCAATGTTGAGGACAGGCGAGATCCTGGGACTAGTGTCTTCACATTTCCAGTGCACTGAAGGGCAGCTGCAGGCTCTCATCTCTTTGGGCCTCACCAAAGGAGGCAAGCGGCACGGAGCTGCTGAGAGCGTAGTACTTGGGCTCGAACCCGTCGTACGGTTTTTGCGCACCTGGAAGAAAGTCGCCTCCGCGACTACCCGTTTGACCCCGGCACCGGCCAAATGGCGTGCCCTTTTCAACTCATGCTTGGAAGGTCTTGGCATCGAACACTTAGGCTTCAGGCCCTACTCCCTTAGGAGGGGGGGGCCACATTTTGGTTCCAAAAGCACCACAATTTAGATCGCATCCTGTTGCAAGGACGTTGGCACACTCAAAAGAGTGCCCGTATATACCTGAACGAGGGCCTTAGTGTCCTGGCACAGATGAATGTGCCGAAAAATGATCCAAAGTTGAAACCTTTTCTGACTGTTTATAACAACTTCATTCAGTCCCCGAAATTCTCCACGCTTGAGCCTCCGTCCAAGGGCGGAAGGACAGGGGGCCGTGGAAGGGGCAAGGACAAGTCCAAATCCGCAAGGAAAAGAGACTATGAG